GTTCCACTATTGCCTTTAGCAGTGCCATGGGACTGGGCAAGTCACTTTACCTCTCTGAATGTCAGTCTCCTCAGCTGTTTAATGGGGATGATCATTATATATATATATATACACACACACACTCCTGGAAGGAAGTGGAAGCCCAGGGAGCCATATTTCCTGACACCACTCATTACTCTTTTTCCACAGAAGAGTATATATATTTTTTCTATTAAAAGAATAAATGTCTGCTCCTGAAATTGTTGTACTATATGCTAACTAACTTGGATGTAAATGAAAAAAAGATAAATTATTAATTTAAAAAAAAGAAAGAAAAAAAGAGAAAGAATAAATGAATGTGTCCTTAACACCTAGCACAGTACCCGGCACATAGTAGGTTCACACAAAGTGATCATGGATTTAATTACCAATGTCCCTGGTGCCTACCACAGTGCTAAGACACATAGTAGGTACTCATTAAAAGTCTGTTGAATGAAGATGTCGCCAGACACTGGCATCGGGTTTGCTGGAAGAATAAATGTGTGCAACTCTAGGGCAAAGGGCAAAAAGACCGGACAGTGTTTATGAAATATCCGTGCCTAGTAGAGGCGAGGGTCCTGCCGGGTCAGCTGGGTTGAACTGACTTGTAGAGCCCTGTTTCTCTCCCAGGTGTGGCCGCTAGAGCCCGACTCGGTCAGGACAAGCATCTGCCCCTTTAGGGAAGGTGAGCAAACCCGGGCTGGGGCCAGGGTGGGAACGGTGAGGTGGAGGAGTGCTGGGCGCCCAGCGACCCCGCCCTCTCCTTGCAGACCCCCGGGCACACCGGAACCTCTGGCGTGTGGCCCGGCTGCAGCTGCTGCCCCCGAGGGGCTGGAGGCTAGATGCGCCCTGCTCACTGCCTGCTGAGGCCACTCTGTGCTGGCAGGCACCAGGCGGGGGTCCCTGCCAGTCGCTGGTCCCCCTGCTGCCACCAGCAAATGTCACTATCAACGTAAGTGAAGCGGTGGGAGGCTCCTGGAAGGACGCAGAAGCCCAGGGGGCCGTATTTCCTGACCCCGCCCATTACTCTTTTTCCACAGAAGGCAGTTGAGTTGCCGTTGCTGAATGCCCACCCCAACCTCTGTGTCCAGGTGAGAGGGGGGCACAAGAGCTCTGGGCTAGGGGCAGGATCCAGGGTGGACCTTCCCAGATAAGTCACTGTCTTCTGGATCCACTTTATCCTTAAGTCACTGGAGCAAAGTTGCTACCCCTGGGAGTTCCACTATTGCCTTTAGCAGTGCCATGGG